ACGTAGTGAGTGCAAGGCCAGCCTGAACTACATAGCAAGACCCTGTCTCAAAGGAAGGGCAAGGGCAAGGAGGAAAGGAAAGGGGAAGGGGAAAGGGGAAAGGAGGACGGGGAAGGGGAAGGGGAAGAAGAAAGGAAGGAAGGAAGGAAGGGAGATTAAATGGTTACAGGTGAGGTAGAGTATACCAACAACAGAGCAGATAGGACAGGGCTTAATAAAGACTAAAGAAAGAAAATAGTAAATCTTTACCTCAAATGCTCATCTAATTTAAAACTTCCATAAAAAGAAACAAAAATGAATTATAACTAAACATTAAGCAACTTAGTTGTGACTTGAAGTGAGGAATGTTCCACAAGTGATTGAGATATGTCAAAAGATACAGATGCCCCCTTAGTAAGTTCCCACTGGTCAGATTTGGGACATTCTGAGGAAGAAAATTAACGGTATTAAACACGTAGAATATATCTTAACAAGTAGAAATCTATGAGCTGAAAATTTTACAAAGAGAGAAGTCGAAATCATAGGCGATCTGATGGGATGCAATGAGAACAGTAATGCCGCTCTGACATTCTTGCCAAATAGCCTAAGTCTAGTTATGAGAAAATACCAGATAAATACTGAGGCATATTCTACACAGCACATAGGCTACAATCTCTAAAATTACTGAAATCATAAATGGCAAACAAATGATGCACAACTCCATAATGAAGAATATGACAACAAAGTTTCCTGAAATAGATCCTTTTGCTGGTTACTGGGACAAATGGTGAAACTTAAATGGGGTATGAATATCAGGTGGCTGAAATTTATGGATTTGTATTTTGATGATTATTTTATGGTTTATCACTTGTAGTAACTGCATGTTCAAACTTGAAGGATAACAATTTTGACAGCCAACTTTTAAATGATTTAGATTCCGGAAAGAAAGGATCTGTCTGGATCTGTGGAAGAGCTTAAGAACGTGAGAATCCAAGGAATATTTTATTTTTTAAAAGAAATCCCAGTATTATTTAAAAGAGACAAACAGCCCTCAAAAATACAAACAAGAACTTTAATGAAGCAAAAGATAACTGGAACTTTAAAAAGTATTGATTCTACTAGGTAAGGAGAGGATATATACAGTGAAATTCTTAACATAAATCAGTATCTAAGTGTAAATGATACACTTCTAACCAGAAATCTCAGAGAAATCAATTTTATTCATCTTAGCAAATTATAATATATATGCATTTATATATAATATATAATATACATAATAATATAATATATAACTATATATAATATATAATAGTCTATGCAAAATTGCATAAAACTTACATTTAAAAATAAAATATATATTTTCAAAAGTTTTATATATTATTGTAAAATCAAAAAGAATATGCTAAAATTAGAGCAAAATAATGCAACAAAAAGAAAACAAGGGCCAGGAATTTAGCTCAGTGGTGCTACACCTGCCTCACAAGCGCAAGGTCCTGAGTTCGATCCCCAGTACTGGGGAGTGAAGGGGAGCACAAGAAAAAGAAAATAAAAGATAAAGGAATCACTATTACAACTGCACAAATGATATAGTGTCTAGCCAAGTGGTAAAAGAAAAACCAAATGAAAAAAGTCAAAAATTGTGATTTTTTTCATAAAACATTCTACAAAGAAAATTCACTAAAAAAACACTAGCTGATCTCATAAGAGTCTACCAAAGTAAGAAAATAGACATTTGGAATGAAATAATTAATAGTTTAGCTATACTACAAAATGACTAATTCTAAAATGTAGTAATTCCTACATGAAAAACTTCTATAATATAGGAATGTCACTTCTAACTATAAAAATATAATTTCAGTGCCTTCCCCCCAAAAAAGCTCCACGATTCTTATATAACTCTAAAAAGTTAGCCTGAAGACAATAGCTAAGAAAATGCTAGAAAATGAAAGGTAAATCATACTATGAAACTAAAATAAATAAAACTGCATAATGGTGTTAAAGGGTTTTATTTTTACATTCTTTTAGAGACATTTCCAAACATCTACAAAATAGGACAATGTATCCCATTATATGAACATCACTACTCTTCAATAATTATCAACACATTGTTAATCTTATGAATCTATGTCACTTTTTTGACAGAAAATTTTAGCACAAATGAACAATATCATATGATTTGACCTGTTAATATTTCAGGTTGTATGCCTAACATATAAAGATTTTTTTTAAAACATAACTACAATATAATTACTCACACAGCAGGTTAATAATACTTAATAAATATCATATAAGACCTAGATCTTAGGTAATATTTTCCAAGTGTTTCAAAAATTTCTCTTCATTTTCTGTTTAACTTAGGGTACAAAGTTCACAAATTCCATTCATATGATGTGTTTTATACATCTCTTGTAATCAACAGGACCATCCTTCTTTTTTCATCTGTCATCTGTTGTATTACCTCATCTAACCTCCACTACTGCTAGATTATTTTACAAATTCCAGATTATCTTTGTGTAACTTACAATACTGTTTCACTAAAAGATAAAGATTTAAAATTCTTTGTTTTAGGGTACCGGGGGGATCAAACAGGACCTTGCTCTTGCAAGACAGGTGGCAGCACCACTGAGCTAAATCCCTGGCCCCCTAAAATTATTTAATTATTTAATAAGACAAAAAAAAATCTCTCAGCACTGTGGGAGGCTGAGGCATGAGGATGATTTTCAAGGTCATCCTGAGCAATTTAGCAAAAAGCTGTCTCAAAATAAAAATAATAATAAAAGGGCTGGGAATGTAGCTCAGGGACCTGGGTTTAATCCTGTTACAAAATAAATAAATACATATATAACCATTTATATGAAAATATCTTTTAAATCTGGGTTTGTGTGAGAAAGGATGCAAATGAAGTCTACACTTTGCACTTGGATAATATTTTCCAATATCTCCTAAACCAACTTTTATTTTCCCATTACAATTACTAGCTAAAGAAACTAGGTCACTTTTGGGGGTTGAGGGTTGAGAAGAGGTCTCCCTATGTAGTTCAGGCTAGTCTTGAACTTGGGGCAATCCTCCTGCCCCAGCCTCTCAAGTACTGGAATTGTGGGCATGAGCCACCACCTAGATCACATTTATACTGTAGAACTTCCTGAATTTTAGTAATGACTACTTGCATTCTGATGCTGTTGTTTAACTTGTCACACATTTATGTATTTTCTGTAGAGTGCTAATTATATTCAGAAGCTGAATTCAATATATGTAAAGGGCTGGCCAAGAATAATGATGATGTGCATACCCTATTACATCATGTTGGTAAGCACATAATGTATGATTGTTCCACCAGAGTAAGGCTAAGATTCATCAGCTAAAACCTAACACACATGATTATTGACTAGATCCATAACTGAAAACAGTTATTTTCTATTTATTTTATTATGCTGGAAATCAACAGAAAAATGTACTCTCATTAACCATGTGGTTGTATTACTAACTTGCTAGAAGAAAGGTAGGATAAATGGTAGATACTTTATCAATATTCAGAATAGTAACAAGCTACCCAATTTTTTTATTATGTATCATTTTGAACTCACTGATTTCTATATAAAGTATTAAAATGTTTCATTTTAGTACAGTCATTTGCTTGGTGGAAACTGAAGAGAAACAGTACTTAGACTGTTGAGAAAGGATGGACAATCCGATAAATAGTACAGGGTCAGCAGGCTATCACCTAGAGTGACAAACAGACGGTGGTGTACTGTAAATACATCAAAAATAGCTCTGTGAAACAAGCTATTTGGGATTTTAGGCTATTAAGATAATGTACAGTATCTGGACAATGTGATAGTAAAAATAGTACACATTTAAACAAAAATATACTTAAATCATTTAACATGGAGCATAGTATATTACTCAGGAAAATGTGGGGGGATGCATGTTTGTGCAATTGTGTGTATAGATAAATAAAAAGTGGCAGGCTGGGGATTTAGCTCAATGCTTCTGCCACCCGCCTTGCAAGTGCAAGGTCCCGAGTTCGATCCCTGATACCCCCCACAAAAAATAATTTCTTTAGGGCCAGGGATTTAGCTCAGTGGTTCCACCGCTTGCCTCACAAGCACAAGGTCCCGAGTTCAATCCCCAGTACCAATCAATCAATCAATCAATAAAAGAATGAATGTTTTTAGAAAACTGGCTCTCTGGGGAAAAAACAGCCCAGCCCTGACTTGCAGTGTTTGTCAATTTTCCTGATTAAATATACCCACCACAGGTGATTTTACACTACTAAAGTGATGTCACTAAATGAAGTGCTGGAAAAAGAAATGTACACAACCAGGTTTCAATAGCCATTGAGGCTGGGTGTAGTGGCGCACACCTGTAATCCCACCACTCAGGAGGCTGAGGACAGCCTGAACTACAAAGTGAGTTCAAGGCCAGCCTGAACTACAAAGCAAGACCTTGTCTCAAAAACAAACACACATACATACAAAAAAATCAACAGTCATGTGAATTCCTGATGGTGTATCTATATGCCCATATCTATTATAAAACTGATTTTTGTGCATTTGTGAATGTGTGCATATGTGTATACATATATGCATGAATGTGTATGTGTGTACATGTATGTGAACATTAAATGTGTGCATATATGTAAACATGTGTGCATGCGTGTGAATGTGCGTGTGTATGTGTGTATGTATAAAATAAAAATGTTAAGTTTGCAGAGATACTTAGTTGAATAGAAGAAGTTTTCTCTGGATCAAGAAACAGTATTAGTTTGGGAAGAAAAATGAGCTACTGTTTTAACAAAAATCACTAAATTTTAATTATAAATTCTATTTAATCTATTTAAATAGTTAATCTATTGTTTATATATTTATGGGGTCAAATGAGACATTTTTAAAATTTAATCTAACCCACTGTCAGAGAACAATACTTTCTGACAAACACTGAGTTCCAATGTGATATAAATAAACAACCAGATTAGATATCATATTATACAAAGAAATCAACCTTTTGAAAAATTAACTTACTTTGGCTTCGGTTTCACCCCTGTGAAGAGTGTATAGATGGTGGATAGCACTTTGTGATGAGGACCAAGGATGGGTCAGAATTTGGAAGACATGAAAGTCATGGCCAAGGGTATCTGTTGTGACTAACAGCATTCCTGGAAGATAAAAAAACAAAAGGCAAAAATAAAAATGACTGCATATGTGGATGGAATATCTTTAATACATATTTTAAATATCAATAAAAATTAAGGACATAAAAATTTTTCAAAATAAAAAAGTCAAAATATATTTTTCCTGTCAGTACCAATTTAGTGCCACAGCACTAAAGCAGCAAAATATAAATAATAGATGTAAAAGTATTATATTTTCCTATCATAATTGTTAAGAGATGTTATGTGCCTCAAGTTACAATGTTCATCATAATTTTTTTGTTTTGTTTTGTTTGAGACAGGTCTTGCTATATAGTTAAGACTGACCTGGAACTCACTATGTAGCCCTGGTTGGCCGCAAACTCATGGTGAGTTCAAGGCCAGCCTGAACTACAAAGCACATGTAATTTTTTTTAAATGAATGTGAAAATGATGTCATTCCACAGAACTAAAACTTACTCCCACTTTTTGTCATTTTTCCTAACTTGAATTCTAAGTGCCAGTTTACCAACTGGTCAAATCACCAATTTCCCCCACTTAATTCACTGGCTTAAAATTTGTGTATCCTGAGGTGAGTGTGGTACCACACACTTGTAAGCCTAGTTTACTCAGGAGGTTGATACTCTCAAACTCAGAGGTTCTAGTCCAGCCTCAACAACATATAGTCAGATGTTGTCTCAAAAACTAAAATGAAATTTATCTCTGTGCTACAGTGATATGCATTAAAACTGCCTACAGAGTCTTTCCCAGTTGTTGGTTCATTTTGATGTCATCCAAGGTCATTAAGATGTTCAGTTTTCTTATAGAAGTTTCCTGATTTTGCTTTTAGTTTTTGTTTTCAAATCACAGTTCTTAAATTAGTGATGGGGAAACTTTTAGAGACTGAGTACCCAAACTGCAATTCAAAACCCTCTTATTTATCATAAAGTGCCAACACTGCAATTAAACCTGAACACTGAGGTTTTGGTTTAGAAAAAACAACTCCTACATTAAGAAAAAAACCTAACAACAGAACTTTCAATGATAAAGACAGCCTGCTGCTGCAGCGTGCTAGGTTTTCCACCATCAGAAACTGACCCAAGAAATAACACACTTATCAAATTTCCATACAAAATGAACATAGCTTACAAAGGGCCACATTTCTGAGAATGAGATTTTTTTGGTAGATCTATCTGGATATTTAAAACAGTATCTGTAGAGAGCATGTTCAGCATGAAAGAAGACCTGGACTCAATCCCCAGAACCAAAAGTAAATATAAACTATACAATACAAACTAATAAAGCTGTATCTGTTTTTCCCCCATTGGTTAACCTTTTATTAAATATATTTTCAGTGATAAGTAGATACAGAAAGTTTACATATTAATGCCATATGATGCTTTGATACATGTATATGCTGTATAATGTCTGAATCCACTTAAACACATCCATCTCCTCAAACATTATTTGTCTATGGTGAAAACTTTCAAAATCCAGCTTTTTGAAGTAGGCAGTACATAATTGTTACCAAAAATATAACAAATGCTTTTTACAATTTTACTAATAGTAAAAATTACTGAAAAATAAAAGATGCTCCCATTAAGCCCCCTGAAACTATCCCTCTTCCCTTCAAACACACTTAGCCCATCGTTCTTGCCATTTTCTGAAACAGTTCTGAAAGTTCTCTTTTATTAGCATGTTTAGTTGCACTGTCTTGGATGCCCTGATGTCCTGAATCAGTTCAAACTGTTTACCTTGGGCCGGGGATTTAGCTCAGCAGTTCAGTGGCCTGCCTTGCAAACACAAGGACCCAGTACTCAAAAAAAAAAAGTTTACCTTTCGTGATCATTTTGACTTGGGTGAAAAGCCAGAAGTTGTACAGTGCAAGATCCAGTGAATAATTTGTATGAGGGCACAGCATAATGTTCTTAACTTACAGAAAATGCCATAAATGGTATCAATCATTATCGTAAGAGGATGAAACTACCCATTTCTCTTGCTGTTTTCTATTTACACAGTTTCTTCAATGCTGAAGTAGGCCCTGAGAGCATTCAGAGTTCTCTGTAGTAGTCCTGGATATCAGCCTAGCTCCCATAATTCCTTCAAGGTCAAAAACACAATCAACTTCACCTCAACGTTGGATCTTGAATGATGCACTATGTTCATGTGAGAACTGGCTGATATCCATTGCAAAGCTTGGTCATACAATCACAAACACAAATCTGAGTTCCATCTCTCATGATGATGTTTCTTAAAAAGCTGGAATCTAAAGCTGCCCTATCTCGCAATGCCAATGAAACTGACAAAATTACATGTTAATGTTCTGTGATCTATGATTTATGGCACACCTTTAAGATACACTTTCTCTCAAACTAGCTCACAATCAACTGCATTAAACAAGCTGAAATTTGTTACACATATGGTACCAAGCCTCGCTGCTCTGCTTCTCCTACTGAAGATCCTGCCTTTTCACTAGCTGGCACTTGGCACCAGAGTAGACTGTACCTTGGATCAGCTCCCCTGAGGCAGCATGCTAGAATTCCTTACTCCTATCTAACTATAACTTAGAGTACTATGCACTCAGCAAACTCTCTGTTAATCATCATTCTACTCTCAACTTCTAGGAGCCCAATTTTTTAAGATTCCACGCATAAATGAGATCATATGGTATTAGTGTTTCTGAGCTTTATTTAAAATTGTCTCCAGTTACATCCTTGATATTGCAAATGACAAGGCTGCATTGTTTTTATGGCTAAATAGTATTCTACTGTGCATACACACATTTAATTAATATGGCATTTTCAACAATATGATTAATTTGCTTCAAATTCCTGGGATAAGTCTGTATGCTACTAGGTACACTTTTTGAAGGGCATAATATCTGAACAGAGATGTAAACTTCTGATTCATGTATACATTGGGTACTGATTAACTCAGAGTACTTAGCATAGGCAGGTCTACTCCCATCCCCACCCCCCAATAACATGCTGTTCTGGTACTATTAACAGGAGCATGCTGGCCTCAAAGAATGAACCAGAAAATGTTCCTTATTCTATAACAACAACAACAAAAAGTTTAAAATTGCTATTATTTCTATGTTAAACGTTTGACATAGATGTTAAATGTTAACTTCTATAGACTAACTTTGAAGGTTTTTTAATTACAGTTTGAGTATCTAATATCCAAAATACTTAGCACAGAAGGATTTCAGATTTCAGATGTAATATATATAATATTTGGGGGACAGGACTCATATCTAAACAAGAAATTTATTTAAGTTTCACATATACTTTATACACATAGATGGCAATTTTATGCAGTATTTTTAGTATAACTGTGTTTTGTTTTTGTGGTACTAAGGACTGAAGACAAGGTTCCCTCACATGCTATCACTAAGCCACACACCCAGGTTTAGTGTGCTTACATTTTGACTGAAACCTGTTATGGAATTTGGGCTCAAAAAATTTGGGGGCTCTGAACCATTTCAAATCTAAAATTTTCAGATGAGGGATACTCAGATTATACTACTAAATTTTCTTTATTTAAATTTTCTTAATTCCTCGGTGAATTACTTTGTTATTAAAGGAGTTTATCCTTTTTTTTTTTTTTTTTTTT